TGCTTAAATCCATTGCATATCCTACATTCACTACAGTGCTCCATACAAGTGCAGTCTACGTATGTTAACATTTAATATTCTCCCCTATTCATGGTGATGTTTTTGTTGTCTTTTTTTTAAATTCGAAGGATTAGGAAGCACCCAAAAAGATCTTTAGACTATTTCGAAATTCCTGACTTGATTCAAGATTTAAGTGACTCAAGAAATATTTCAATGACTGCATCACGAGGAAGCTTAGCGGCACGTTGTCATTATCAAAAATTATGATTCACCCAGGACAAACTGACTTATGATTCAGTACAATCATCGTGACTTCTTCCTGAGACTCGCTGCTCAAAGAAACTTATTAAAAAGCAATTTAAACAACTCATGATTTGAATCAGGATTCAGCAATTACAACAACCTGGGTCCAACTCTCCCAAAATTAAATAATAAATACTGCATAGCCAAATGCAGCGAGAGTACCAGACAAGACTTTTTTTTTCGAAATGGGGGTATACTATGACATTACATGTGTGAAACACTACACTTCTTAAACGCAGAATCTATTAACTCGAGTGCAGAAAAAAAAAGTTGCAATAGTAAAGATGCCAAGATAATGTTCAATGTGCTATCCATTTGCCATGTGTTAGTACACACACCAGGATTTATTATAGCCGAATATATGTCTGGCAATCTGAGATATTCACAGGCATTGTTCTTTTTTCTCCAAAAATATCTGCCGTTTGTGTAGTGGCGTAGGGAGGCCACCAAAGGGTGGAATTGTATCACTTTACACACAGGAGGGAGAGAAAGAGCCTTTGATTCACCACTTATTAATACACTCATTCTCTCAAATGTCCCATTACACCCAGAGGTTGACACGCAGAAACAAACACAAAAACATAAAACACACACATATAGAAATACGCAAGAGTGTTAGAAAAAGAGGCCTGTCAAATTGTGAGTTAGATCTATGTGATGCAGTTCATTAGGATATCATACCTAAACAGTCTTTGTCATTGGCTCACTCTGTTGTCCATCACTGTGAGCGTGAGAGCTCCGTAACTCACGGCAGCATCAGTCAGCTTCAGTCCCGAGATAGTTCAACTCGTGAATTTATTCACTGGCTGGAACTGGAAAGAGAAACAGGATTCAGCAAAATCAGAACTATTCGAGTGATTCCATGCAATAAACTCAGGCTGTGAGTCTGGGGGTTGCTGGTACCAAAAATAAATAATAGCCGTCGCAGGTGCGGTCATAGGAACAGCTTAATGTCACCGCTTTGCCTTTTGTCTGAACACCTGAGGACAGTAGCTGAGGGCCAGAAACTCCCTGTCCCAGTTCTGGAAAAAAAAACATATTCAATACGGAAAAGATTTGAGGGATGAATATTTCAAATTCAGGGTCAAAACATGTTCAGGAAATGAGAGAAACTACTGGACGTGTTTGTTTCACAATTACTTATTATAAATTCTCTACACACAATCCAGACTCCGAGTAACAGCATTGTTCTGTCCACTTTGTAAAAGGAAGCTGGATATTTGAAGACAGAAGTTCTATTTCCCCACCATCAATAATTTGCTGCCGTGTTTTAGGATGCTTTCACATCACTGCCTTGTGCCCACAGTTGTTTTTTGAGACTGGGACGGATTAAACTGCCTGTCAGTGAATGGAAAATCCTCTATCTGGGCCGCAGCTTTGTAAAGGAGATGGCCCCGCTCTAAGGAGATGGCAACAATTAAAGCTGTGGCTGTACTTTAGCAATTCTTTCAGAGGATACGTGGATCGCTAGCTAGGTCAGCATTTATTGCCCGTTCCTAATTGCTCCCCAGAGTCATAGAACGCCTGCAGTGTGGAAACAGACCATTTGGCCCAACAAATCCACACTACCCTTCTGAAGAGCATCCCACACAAACCCATTCACTGCCACCTACATTTCCCATGTCTAACCCACTTAACCTAAACCTCCCTGGACACTTGGAGTAATTTAGCATAGCCATACCACCAACCCGTCACATCTTTGGACTGTGGGAGAAAACCGGAGCACTCAGAAGAAACCCATGCAGACACGGGGAGAATGTACAAACTCCACACAGACAGTCGCCTGAGGCTAGAATCGAACCCGAGTCGCTGGCACTGTGCAGCAGCAGTGCGAGCCACTGAGCCACAGTGCCACCCAAAAATGGTGGTGAGCTGCCTGCTTGAACTGTTGCTGCCCCTGGAATGTGGGGACACCGCGGAAATTGGTTGGAAGGCAGTTGTAACATTTTAACCCAGTGACACGGATGGAATTGTGCTGTATTTCCAAGTCAGGAAGGCGACTGACTTGAAGAGGCAGTCACAGATGATGCTGTGAAATGGGACTTTCACTGGAATTGGTTCATTTTCGATTGAATAACTCCTTGAAAACTTAATTTATCTAACCTTCAGGAAATTGAGCACGGTGAATCCAATAAGGTTTCCTTTGTGTGTCCAGTACAAGTCATCGTAATGCATTGGACGCAAGTACACAGCTTCATATGCCAAAACTGCATAGGCATTCGGGGACAAGCATGTAATCACCTCCAAATGTACATATGGAGGTGCAAACTCAAACTGGTATTTTCAAATACCCACACTCAATCACACGCAGACGTGTAGCACACAAGGTCACAAGGTTATGAATACAATGCACACAAACACAGGTACAGACACGTAAACACACACACGCACACACACACAAACACACATACAAAGAATTGCATATGCACAAACACTCCAACATAAGGTCAGATAGGCACAATGATTCCAGTTGAAATCAGCAACTTGTGCACGCGTATTTGATGCACAAAGTTCTGGAATTGGATGCATTCCTTTCTCAGCCCCGTGTACGAAATCTTCCCAATAAGCTACATATTTCCTGAAGACCATTTGACAATCTGTAATACCCATTGTACATTTGTCCTTTCTCACTGCTTGTACTAGACACTTACAATACAGCCACGCTACCTTAAAATTGAATTGAATGATTTATTGTCACTTGCATAACAAATACATTGTGAAACGTGTGGTATTGCCACGCTCTGGCGCCATTTTGAGTTGCAGAAGATATTCAGATATAACTCAAAATAATCAAAATCGGAGTTTTCCCTCCCTTTTTGTGCTCATCTCGACATTGGGGGATTGTCCTCACAATGGCTCTGGTATCACCAACTCCTCTGTAACACAGTAAATTGCAGGAATAACACTCTGAGGCCACTTTTGCCACTGCTGCATTCCAGGAGTACCACACTGATCCCACAGTGACATCACGCCACCACTGATGCAATGAAAGCTCCTGGTGATCTGCCAGGAGTACCAAATTGTGTCTACCACATTGCTGCAGCTGAAGTCCAGCATCAACTATTACTTTTTTTGTTTTATAATGAGGATTTCTATGAAAGTCAATGTTCATAGAGACTGGACGGAATGTGGGTTTTCGGCAGCTATGCCATCAACCATAGTCTTATGGAATGATGGTCCAAGCTCAAGGGTCAAATGGAATAATCTGCTCCGACTTCAACTGTTCTGATGTTTATGTGTGATACATATGTATGCTTCAACAAACTAAAAAAAAACATAGATTTCACAGGACTTTGGCAGCTCTTATCCACATTGTGCTTATAGCTACAGAATTATACAATTCTGAACGTGGGCCCGCCTATGACACTTGGAAAGGAAGTGTAAGTAGTTGCTCTTCTTTTAGTATCAATGGCATTCTACCTGGAGAAGACCCCTCACTGTCCATTAAAACTGCACACAGTCTTATGGAGACATAGGTAGCCAACGACTCCGAGGGTCAGAAATTCATTAAAGTACACATATATGGGATGACTCACAGGTTGCAAAGAACAAGATTGTGCGAAAAGCAATGGGATCGATGAAACTGGGGAGGGCAGGTTATGGAACATCCTTTTGAAGTGTCATTAATGATACTCTAATAACACACAATTACAAAAGAACTGTAATTTCAATGTCTTTATTTCTGAATCAGTTTATTCAATGACTTTCAGAAGTAGAAAAACTGCCCGATCTTCTCAGTTTATGAGTCCACCCGCTCGCATCTCCTCATCATGAAACTAACACCTTGAATGCTTAAAAGAAACTAGGTTTGGTGGAGAAGACAATCACTGACAAGACACATTCTAGCCTTGTTACAGTTTTGTAGCTTCCATCCAGATCACAGAGAAAACATGCCACATGTGATATTTTGGACTAATGTTTATTTTGAAGTTGGCCAATAAGGAATGAGTCAGGTTTCGAAGAAACCAATACAAAGGGTGTGGAAGGATCGTTGCGAGGACAGTTGCTCTTCAGGCAAGGAATAAAAGGGAAACCAAGAACTAAGGTGGACTCATTACCCTCGGGAATTCGAACAACCAAGAAGTTCCCATTGGAACCAGCTTGTCCCTAGTTCCTTGGAGACTTGTAAAGTCGAGTCAAGTTTTTAAACTTGTACAGCAGTTTATACATGTATGTTGACTTTCAGTCAGTGGACTCATAATGCTAAAGAAGCAGCCTTGAGGAACTAACATAAGGAAAACTTCAACAGAAATTGCTGTAGATGCTTAGCGGATCTGATAGGATCTCTGGGGAGAAAGCAGAATTCACATTTCAACAACATAGAGGAGAGATTGTGTCATATAGTGATGACAGTACTGAAACAGGAAACGAAGGCTCCAAGGAAGTTTAAAAGGGAGGAAGGAGGAAATGTGAGTGATTGAAAAAAAAAGTGCAAATAAATCAACATAGGCCCAGAACACTGCAGAATTGAAATGTTGAGTACGGATCTGATCCATGCCTGAGTATCTCATCCAGAAAGACGAGAGCTCCGATAATTTCTGATTCCTTTAGAATTAATAATCGAGAACTACCTCAGCTGGACAATGGACGTCACACCTTTCGAGTCAAGAGGCTCTACCCGCAAATTTCAGATTTGAGTTCGAGAAAAAGCGTTACAAACTAATAGAAGAGAAGTAAGATGGAGAAATTTTGTTTTTCTATCGTTTGAATACACTCTTATGGATGATGAAGGGATACTTCATCACCACCTTAAGCTCCTCCCTAAACTTATTCTGAGACACGGCATAGATAAAAAAGTTGTTGCAGGAGCTGAGTAACTGGAGCATGTTGGTCGTCTCCGAAATTATGTACTGTGGGTCTTTGAAATTCTGGTTGTTGAAATAACCTGCACCTCTAACTCGCACGTAGAGGAAACGCCCGACCTGGGTAGCCCACAGGAGGAAGAAGCTGAGTGAGATAGCGAAAAGCAAGACAATGGGCCTTTTGTGATTCATAATCTCAGGATCTTGACGATTCTCAACACCTCGAAGCCTCTGACGGGATCTGTTGGCCCCTAAAATGTGCTTTATAGTCAAAGCATTGAGAAGAAAAATGAGAACAAATGGGAAAATGGGGATTAAGATCGGGTCTAGCATGTCGTATGCCTGCCAGACAGGAAATGTGTAATAGGTGGACTTGATATTGCAGAACCACGGTACTCCCCTAATTGTGTACAAAGGCCTGTAGATGAAGTATAAAGGGACATTCTTGATGCAGTTCAGGATACAGACTGTTCCAATGACCAATGATGCAGTTTTTTCAGTGCAGTATCTGGTCTTCAGGTTCTGGCAGCAAATGGCAACAAAACGGTCGATAGTGAAGGCCACTGTCAGCCAGACTGAGCCATCTTGCGTGCTGTGCACTAGCACAGCAATAAGGCTACACACCGGGGTGGTTGACAAGACATTGTACCTAAAGTAAATGCGGCCAATCCTGTTTAGGATTACGGAAATTATGACGAGAAAATCAAAGACAGCTATCGCCTCCAGATAGTATGTGAAGCATTTGGAGAGACCACAACGTCCTCGGGCTAGAATTACAATCACCAGCAAATTGGCTGAGAAAGAAAAGGAGAGAGATGTTATTAAACTTATTCCAAACATTAACTACTGTCTCATCCAGTATGTTGCTCAAGTACAACTTCTGATTCTTGACTATTCAAAGGGCATTTCGTTGATGTTTATTGTTTGACTAAACTTGTGTGAATACATAAGGCATTGAAGTCAGTTGCTGCCACAAAATTTACTGTGTGTTCATTGAATCTACCCTCGTGTTTAGGTTTCAAATCTCAACGCCATCCAAAATATTTAATGATCACCTTACTTACTTCCTTAATTAGTAAGTAATACTTACTAAGAAATTCAAAATTCTATGCTTGTCGACATATTTTGACTTCCCATGCACCAAAATTGCAGTCTGAACAATCTGAGCTACCGAATTTTCAAATGCCTCCAAAATCTCACTGCTGCCGTCTCGGTGATAAAGAACAATCATCTGCATTTTCCACATTCCTCCAATTCTGTTACTTTCTGAAACCTTCAGATTCTGTCTTCCTTCATTATTGGTTTTTCCTTCAGCTTCACATGTATAACTCTTTTGAAATCTGCCTTCCTTAGGACGTTTCTGAGTAGATAAATTTTTGTGGAAAATGTTGGTAAAATACTACCACAAGTTGGCTGCAGATTTATACGCTTCTGTGGTAACTACTCTGCTCCACCTGTTCCTTTTCTTTCTTTCTCTTTTTCTCTCTGTTCTTTTCTTCTGCATCCCACGAATTTTTTTTTCAGTTAATGAACTGGACTAAACTGTCGGGGAATTGAGGAGCTGGCGAGCCCTGGAGGCGAATTCCACTGTGGAGGCTGTCACAGGGGAAGCAGTCCGGGAGCACCAGCTGTTGGAGGGAGTGAGTCCCGTGCAGCGGCCAGCCCAGGGTAAGCAGACCTGGAGCAGCAACAAGCACTGGGAGCGAGTCCTGAGCAGAGGCCAATGCAGGAAAGTAGTCCCGGAGAAAACTTGCCTTGGAGAAGCTGAGAGCTGGGGCAGAATGCGCTGGAGGCTTGCAATGGAACGGGGACAGTTGTTGGACTGAGGTCTGGTGCAGGCAGTTGCACCACCTGTCGAGGTCCCTGAGCTCAGCGACTGCAATGTACTGTTCATTTGTAATTGTTTATCTGACTGTAATATCTATCCTTTTAACTATGTCTTATTTCCAGCTTATTGGTTGACGGTAAAGTAATGCAAATACTTTTCTTTTTAATTCCTATTTTGCATCTAAGATTTGTACCTATGTGTTTGTACCTAAGATGACATTATAAGCAGCGACATTGTAAAAAAAAAAATCACTGTACTCCTGTACTTCTGTGCTTGAGTACACCTCAAAACACAGGATATTCGATTCTATTTTATACATTATGTAATTCGTCTTCATGGTTTTGGTTAAAGTTACCGCGACGATTTCCCACCATACATTCTCCAGTCGCTGAAGAAACAAGCAGAACCTTGACTTCATGAGTTGAATTCACCCCTGAAATGGAAATCCCTTGAATTCTTTAAAAAAAAATGAACTGCAAGCTATAAGTCCATGTCTGGTTACGATATTGTAACAGGTTTGTACCAGGATCAAGCAGAAGAACTGGTAACTTATTTTTTAGTTACAGTTTGCAGTGGAATACATCACAATTTGTGACTAAATGCGAGTTACGAGTGAGCATCAACAGTGAACAGTGAACTGACTGAACGGCTCAACCTCACTCCATCGCAATCACTGTACAACATACAGTCACCCTCAATCATTCACCGTCACTCACAGGCTCCTGGCAGGAGCCAGGATGCGTGTGGCCGGACTTGAAGAGTTTACTGAATCAAGGAGGGGGCAAACTGCGTGAATCTTTGTGTGGGGTCAGGTTATGCGTTACTTATGCGTTGGGGTTGCAACATATTTGCCTCTGGAAGGGGAACTAGCAACTTGACATAGGATAGGAACAAGTGGACTGACTCATTGGAAGGGGAAGAGGGTAGACATTGTGTGTGCTTTGGGCAGATTCTAGGGGAGCAGCACACAGAATTGGTTGGGGTACAGTGAGCAAACACCAGGGGATTAGTTTGCTAATTGAAAGTAGAACAGCAGGCTGAATTGTAGAAGTAGACAATATGGCAACATTAGGTATTAGAGTTAGCAGCAAGGTAGACTCGAAATGGGTGCAACAGGGTATCATCCTGAGACAGAAACAGATATTGGTGGAGAAACACATCAGGTCTGGCAGTATGTGTCGAAAGAAAGCAGATTTAACTTTTCGGGTCCAGTGGACCCTCTTCAGCGCCCACCTCTGGAATCCAGGACAAGGGCAAGGAGAAGGGAGGTGCGAGAGTCTAGAAAGTTGGGGATGAGATTCTGGGAGAATATTAAAAGGACAGAACAGTGGTGTTTCTAGAGTGGAGAACAGTGGTCAGAGACTGGGAGACAAGCAGCCAGAGATCAGATAAATGGTGCCAGAGGGGAGGGAAAAAAAAAGCCTGAGTGAGACATAGAGGGGGTCATGTAAAAGATTCAGACGATTTAGAAGTTATAAATTTGAAGCATTTATTTCAGACTCTAGAAGCTGGCAATACGGCAAAGATTGCACAGTCACTGAAATCCCCAACCACCTGTATTCCCTTTCCTGAAATCTTATTGCTTTCCTGTATATTGGGGAATTTTTCTAACTCTATTCGCACCAGGTAAAATCGGATGCTCCATTACTAATATGTGCCGAGTGGCCAAACCTCAGTGATGCTGAGGGTTGATTGGTTTGTGTGAACGGTCCGCGTCAGGGGAGGTCAGTTTGAATAAAGACGACAGGAAATCAGCCACAAGCACTGTGGCTGCTGGAGGCCAGAAAAGAAATTTTCAAAAATGGTTTCCATTTAAGATTTGCAGGCAATTCTCAGTCATCATGTGTCAAGTTGTAACATTGTTACAATTTGATTGCACTTGTTTTGGAGATATTTTGCGGGGAGATATAAATTGAGGTACAGTGTGGCAACTGGCAGAGGAAGAGTGTGAAATATTTCAGTAATTGCTAATCAAGATCTGCACAGCCACTGGGCATGTTAATGTTAATTTCTCGTATTTTCCTTGAAGAAATTTCTGGAGAAATCCAATACAGAGAGGAATTAAATTAGGAGGCAATGTTATTGCATGTTTATAAATTTACTTTAGATCAATCAATATTGTTCTCTAATTTATTTGGTCCTTTGTCAGTTTTGCTTTACTGGACAGAATCGTTGGTATTTAACTATTTATTTCTCTATAATCAACTTTCATCCTCCATACAGGAGCCAGTGCCAGACAATGTGGCAGAAGAAATTGTGAAAACCTGCATCTGCAGTACAAATCAAAGGCATCAACAAAAAGCAACGTTTCCTGGACAAGAATTGCTGCAAATTATGAAAAAAGAACGTGGTTATTTGTATAATTTGTGTATGTACTCATGAATCATTCAATTTTCAAATTTCCAGCATTTTTTATGCATTATATGATATAACACTTTAATATGGTGAATGATAGTATGTTAAGTGTATTCACAGAATGGAGTGTTACAACATGTTATTCAATTCATTATGCTGCATCATCACAGAATGCCATTTATTAGATGGCTGAATCTTGACTTATAAAGCTTTGCTGATCATAGCTTGAAAATTTCTTTGAGGCTTGAATTCATATTTTTATATTGCTTTCATCCTAACTGATGCTTATAAATTTAAAAGTGTCCGTGAATTAATTCGAACTTTCTTTCCAACGTTAATATGGTGCACATTCTGGTCTTGCTCGTTCCTGACACGCTCAATAGGTTGCCATTTTCATGAGTTATTTCCATCAATTACTAAGCTTAAAGTCATGTTGGATAAACAAATAAGTTAAAAGCCTGAATAATTCAAAACAGTGCCTCGACCACTTATCTTCCTCACGTGCTTGATGTGAGCAATAGCTAACCACCGAACAACCACGATCAGTCACCTGACAATGCAGAATTGCAATGCTTTCAGTTTCAACTGTCCCAGTGTGGGGAGAAGCCTTCCGTCGACGATAGTCGTCAACAGTTTCCGACTGGTCTCGCATGTTGCTTAAAATCATTACAACCGTTTTGATTTTAGCCTTTCACCATTCTCAGAAACTCGTGATGAACAGTGATTATTGATTAGGGCAACCACAGTCTGTTATCGATTAACAATCTTTCACCATATGCAAAACCCATCAGGAGAGGATATTACCAACAATAGATTAAACTTCTTGCCTATTCAGATGTTTTCAAATATTTGCCGAATTAGTTCATCAGATTACGTTAAAAATGGGACCTTATGTGTGGGCACTCACTCTACTGCAGCGGTTACATTCTTGCAAAAGTCGGACTGTAGATTCCTGAATTCAGTGAACGTGTTTTTTTTTGTGTCAACATTTTGACAGTATAACGACTGTATGGAATAAGTAATATTCTGCTCCGGCAAGAAATCCACGCATAGAGGCATTTTGCTAAGTTGGCGCTTTATTTAAAAAAAAAATCCTGTAGCACAACAAATACTCTTTTCCGTTTTGCGAAATTAAAATTAAATCTTTATATCAGACCATTTTTTCATACAATGCAAATAATTATAAGTCATGATTCAACAATCAAAAAATAGCATTTCCATAAAAGTCCAGCATATTGAATTATATGATATGTTGCAATATTCCATTGTGCAACCACAGTTAATTCACTATCATTCACCACATCACAGCGTAATATCATATCATACATAAAAAAAATTCTGGAAACCGTTTGATGTCCCCTACATTCCTGAAATGAAACATTTCTGGAGATTTTCAAAAAAAAAGACACCTTTTTTGGCAGCCATGACTTACCTGGAACACCAATAACAGCGCTAATAGGATAACAAATGACATAAAAGAGTCATTTTATTGCCCCGTGCATTGTCTTTTGGAAGCTGAAGAAGTCCCCGAAGCTATAGGAATTAGTTCTGCAACACCAGCGAAAAGTGCGATATGTATTTGAACTGAGAAGGTCCAGAGGGAAAAGTATTTTATAGCACGCACTTTAGTTACAGTTCGATAAACAAACATCCACAGTTTCAGGATTTCTGTTTGTCATATTAGCAAAGCGAACGACATACTTGTACTTTTGAAACATTGGGGTCAGTCAGTTAAGTCGGCTGGACGACTGGTTAGTTATGCAGAGTGACGTCAACAGCGTCGATTAAATTCTGCACTGGCTGAAGTTTACCATGAAGGCACCGTCTTCTCAGCTTCCCCCTTTGCCTGAGGTCTAATGATTCTCTGGTTAATCACACCAACAGTTGTTTCTCTCTAAGGAGAGACAAGCACTATGATTTTCTGGGACTTTACAACTTTAGCTTTAACTGTGAGAGTAAAGTGGTTTTCTCGTGGTCAATGTTTGAAGTGTGGCAGTGAAGTGTCATGTTTGCTGTTGTTCTCAAGTGTGGAATGGAGTCTGCCATAAGAGAAGCTGCTCCCTGACCAATAAAAAAGTCACTAGAAAGTGGCATTTTAGATGGAATGACACACATTCTGCACAACAAGAAACGATCTTTTGGAAAAAAAAATAACTGATACCTAATATCGTGGGGTCACATGTACTTCCAAATTCAAGTCGCAGATATGATTAAATGATAGGAGGTGATAGTACATGACAGGTTTTGTATCAATTGATTGAAGTTCTGTATTAGTGTGAGCTTCAACGCAGAGACATGCATCTTGGTGATATCTACAGTTACATTTTTCTTGTCTATATCAAAACTTGTCATTGAATCCTGGAGACTTTCTCCCGTTGCTCAAAAAAAGGACAGAAAATCACACTTATGTTATGGACCAGAACATCCAAGCCCCTCCCCTGTAAAAATATCAAGGAGATAGCCTGAACCCTAACTTTTATCTGACGAAAGGTAAGTGTAAGGTGTGTGTCCTAGACGTAAATAAATAGGTCACACAACTCATTATTAAGCAGAACACACTTTATTTTAACCCCTGATTAAATTATAAAAGAAGAAAGAAGAATTGGCACAACTTTAACCCTGTAAAAAAAAGACTTTACAGAATCAAAGATTATTTAACGACGAAACAGAAACTGTCCCAATATAGCAACATCTGATAAAACATACTTGGCAAAGGTAAATTCAGTAAAATAGATGGTTTCACATGTGATTCTGGCAGACACAGATACAATTCACGTCTTTTAGATTTAGTAGAGAAAGAAACAGACAGCTTTAAAGCTAACTTCCAAACCCCAAAAACAACGGAGTGCTAAAAATAAAACCCTGGTTCTGTGGGAGCCTCGCTCCATCGATTCATGCTGCTTCTGTTGTTCCCACTTAAAGAAAAGGCTCACAAGCTGTTTACTTTTTTGGTTTGAACTAGATAACTCTTTACCAAAATCTTCCTTTAAAAAATTTCAAAATGCAACTCATACTTACTCAGCTTTGGTTTTTCGCTTTATTTTAAAGAAAACTTTGGATAAGAATGCAATCTCTTGTCACTCTTACGATAAACAAAATGCATATAGTATCACCATGCTTATGGTACTTTATGCATTGTATTCGTAGTGAGGCCGGCAAGAGATTGTATGCTTATCAAAATGGATTTTTAATGTAATGCAGAGTAACATTTGTGATGATTACCAACATTTATAAAGGTCTAGCTTTGGGGAAAGTGGGGAAGTAGGAACAGGATGCCACCAAGATATTGTACAGTTGTGAACACTTTTTATTTACTGCATTTGTTTTGCAATATACTACGTGCCAATATCTTGGGCAGCAGTATCTCTTATTGAAATGGTATTGGACCTCCTTGAGCAGCATAAGGACAGAATTTTGTCTCTTGTCATCAGGATCCCTTGCTATATAGAGCTGATAAATGTTGGATTCATTGTAAGTGTTTGTCTGTAGCAGGCTACATCGACATCAGGCAGTTAACATTACAGTTCAGCCAATCTTACTCTAGAGACGAAAAGGCATGTGAATGCGGATCTAACAACCAGACTAAGACTTGCTGCCGAGTTTCGGACTCTCAGTGGTAAGTTTAGGACTCTTAGTGGTTGAGAAAAGAAGGAAAGGGGATAACATTGCATTCTATTCATTGAGTAAGAGACTAATTAGTGACGTTGTAAGCAGCCACTTGTAAAATATTGTTATTGGATATTATTTAGATTCCCACTCGAAGATTGGTTGTCTCAAAGCTAACAGCTCTTCAGTCATCTCTTGGAAGGAATTGATTTCCATCTGTCCTTCATTCTCTCTGACTCTCCTTCTGTCGTGAATTATTAAAAGCTTCGGGGAGATTCAATTTCTGCCATATTTCTAAATCAAAAATAAACCTCAAGACTTATGTTGGAAATTGTAAAGTGATGAATCGACGCTATCTACCAATGATGCTAAACTGGGAAGTGAATGCTATCGTTTTTTTTTATTTCCATTGAAATCACTTTTCATTGTTTGATGCTGCAAAACCGGCTTTAGGAAAAGTGATTTTTCAGTTCCATTTGGGAAATCACTGAGGTTTCATACTATTCGAACCTCCTGACTCTTAATGATCGTTGTCAGTGTCCTGCACATTAAAATGAATAACCGTCTTCACTAAATTCATGCCATCTTCATTTTATGTCCAGCTAATTCCTTTTACTTATTATGAACAGTAATGACGATCATATAGACACTTAATAGGAATATATACCCTGTTTATACATCACAACAGTCCTCAATTAAATCATTTATACCATTATGTTGCTGATCAACAGAACAACGAAACCAGAGAAATACAATAAATGTAATTACAATTTCCAAGTGCCTTGTTCCAAGCGAGTATTTTAAAGAGAAACGTGTTCACCATTAAAGCACATGTCAATATTGTATTGACAGTGATTAGTGAAAAGGCTGTGATCCAATATCGCAACAACATTTAAACACGATAGATAACACATCGAGATTCAGGCTGCAGGAAGAAGGGTTTCTAAGTGTATCTACTGGGACAAGCAACGAAGGACCAAGACATAAAGTTGATCATATCATACATTAGCAGAAACGTTACAGATTGACAAATCACTAAAAAAAAGCCTTTGCAATGAAAGAACCACGTATTGAACAGTGGAATCGATTACTTTTCAAAGAAACACCCTGACAGAAAATCTTTTTGTTCCAGTAAAATTGCTCCCCAGCATTCAGCGCAATCTCCACTGCGCCCTCTGCTGTCCTGAATATCAGGTCGAAAGGTGTGATCAATTCCGAAAGGCAAGGAATAATGCTGTTGAACTGAATCTTGCTAACCTTATCATGTTATATTTATTTTCATATTATACAAATGATCATGTTTCGCTTTTTGACTGTTCAGCATAAAATTGCAAAGCATAGTAAACGTTAAATATTTGAAATGTTTATTCAGTTGCTTGATTTAGAAAGGAATTAAACAAGCATGATCTGAAATTGAGTGAATGGTGTTTCGGTATGAATGCTATATAGAATCATAGAATTGTACAGTATAGAAAGAAGTCATTTAACTCATCGTGGTTGTACCAGGTTCTGAAAGAGTTACCCAGCTAGTGTCATTCTCCAGCCATAGCTCTGTAGCTCTCCAAATCCATCACTTTCAAATATATTTCCAACTCATTTTGAAACTTCGCAAGGAATCTGCCTCTGCCATTCTCCCAAGCGACATATTCCAAATCTTAATAAGGCTCTGAGTAAAGAAGTTTATCTTCATCTCGGTCCTAGTTCTTCTGCTGATAGTCTTGAAAGTGTGACTCCACTTATGACGTACCAAACAGTGAAAACAGAATATCCTTCTTTACTCCGTCAAAACTATTCATAATTTTGAACTCCTCATTAAATTAAACTCATAATCCTGAAAATAACTGCCCACAAATGAAGACAATACTCCAAATGTGCTTTGACCAATAATTTGTAGAGGTGGAGCGTCACTTTCTTGTTTTTACACTCTATGCCTCTATGTCTAAATACAATGATTTTATAAGCGTTCTTAACAATTGTCTCAACTTGCCTGGCGATCTGTAAAGAATTAAACACTTGAACTCCCAGGTTTCTCTGCTGTTGTATTCC